TAAAGTTGAATTACAATCAAAACTGTTTATATGTGTGTAGTAATCAATTTGTGCTATCCTTCAGTATCAATCAAGATTTAACGACAAGTCAACAGATAAAACAAAGTCAATGTCAAATTGTTAAAGTTAAGATTGGTTGTTGCTTGCTAGAATCTTAATTAATACTATTGCTTAGGTTCTATTGAAATTCTTTGACTCAAAATAATTTCAGGTCCTATATTACATAATCTGTATATATAGCGTACATGTAAATTTTTGAATTCCACATCAGATTTATTCCAACATGATAATGTCGCGTTAGACATGCATCTGTCTTGTAATCTTCCTCCTTCAGCACAACTAAAGAATTAAAGAACTTATAAATAGATGTGCGTCAGTGTGTGGGAAGACCATATTCGGAGGGATATATATTATGAGAAGCTTCCGTACAAATACCAAGCATGCGTGTAAATATATAGAAATTGATTCGTTAAGGATTGGTTCAATAATACATAGATCCTGCCATTAGGTTAAAATAAATTATCTTCTAAATTCTCCTATATTCACCACTAACAGTGTTAGCTTCAAATGCATTCAAATTAAGAATTGGAAAACCCCCCTCCCCCACACCCATATGTATATATATATATGATAAAAAAGTTTAGGTAAGTTGAGTTTTAAAGACTTATTAGGGTTAGAGCATGCATGCTTTTAGATTTAAAGAGCTTTTGCATATTACTCACCAATAGGGTCCTCACATTAGCAGTGAAATTTGATTCCATACTCTTATGAGTTACCTTATGGCTTAGGTATTCTCTGTTTATGTTCTGTAAAAGTTATGAAATCTAATTTTAGATAATTGAGTTGGATACTTAATTAATGTTATTTAATTAGAATTGTGCACTTATCAAATTGTAAATGAGATATGATCTCTTCATAACTAATGTATTGATAAATAATCACAATAATTGGGCCCGACTCAATTATATAGCCACATCAAAAAATGTAATAACAACAATTTTCTAGTCATAAGTTTTTATTTGTGTATATGTTTTCAATTTCAATTAGATGCCAACTTGCTATGATATTATCAAAACATAGTTTGATGAAAATTTTAAGCAATGATGTAAATATATAAAAAAAATTCTATGATATGCAACAAAAGTAATTGGTAAGGAAGTATACGTTGGAATCTTGTTTTGGGATACCTTCCTCGGCCTTTTGGTTAAGATAAAGTGCGTGTGATTGAGTAACTAATTTCTAAATATGTTTATAAATGCTTTTAAAACTTATGGTGAAAATGATATCCCAAAACTTTCAGTTATCCTAATCAGAATAATGCAAACTTCTGCATTGTTTAACATATTATGATGAAAATAATCATGATACGATTTGTATAGTCAAAGAATGAACTTTACTCTCCATTTAATGTTAACTCCAAAATAATTCAATTACTCAAAATTTATGTGGTCAAATTAAAAATTACTCGAATAATATATTAAACACTAACAACCAAATCACACTGTCCAAAAGGTATACTACTTTCAAGTCAAGTCACGTAAAATTTGTTTTCTTACAAAATTAATATATTAGTACGTAGATATATAGTATATATAGATAGATAGTACATTCAAAATCTTCATATGTACATGAATCATGTAACACTACTACATAATACTATAATACACGTAAGTTATAAATTTGCATGCTAGACAAGAACAAGAATCTCTTTATTAGCTCCCGTACAAGGTTTACATATATGCACAGCATATTAAAATCAGGACTCAGCTTCCAAAATACAAAGTATATTTTAATTAATAATACTCATTCCATCTCAAATTATAAGATATTTTGAGACAAAATCTCACATACCAATAACCTTTATTAAATAGACTTAACAATTTTATTTTTTTAAAATAAAAATGTAAACTTTCAAAAATACCTGCCATTTAATGACTTTAAATCCACACCTAATTACTACTAAATAAAAAGTGAAAAAGAGTAATATTGAAATAATCTTATTTAATAAATTTTAATCTTCTCCAAGTGTTTTATATTTTGGTATGACAAATCTTTTCAAAAATATTTAATAATTTAAGATGAAGGGAGTATTATTTATATATGCAAAGACTAGAATGTCCGTATATGTGAGTGTGATATAACGTGAAATTCGAAATTTTACACGTACGTATATTGCGTGTCCATGCATTTTGCAGGAGAATGCTTGGTCTTGAACGTACGCTTGGGAAAGAAGAGAAGTTGTGGTTTAATTTGTTTTATTGGTTGACCCATTCAATATGGCCTCCTCAATGGACTAATTATAAATAGTTGATAAAGGAAAGCATATGATGCTACTTATTGTAACATTATCTACTACTGCGTGCAACATTTATATTTCATATTAAGAAAAGAATTTTGCATATTGAACTTGTCTGCTATATGTCCATGCATGCTTGCTTCTGATATTTGACTCTTGCCTTGTGGATATAAATCCGAACTTCTTTACAGATATCTTTTGGATTAAAAAACAAAAACAAATGGAAAGATATTCGAAGACACGTAAATTTATGATACGAACAACAAAAGATATAAAAAATATCAATTAGTCCCTGATTTACTAGACCTGTATACAATAAATATCCTATGGTATAGTTAAGGGCTTATAATACCCAAAAAAAAAAGAGACTTAATTAAGACAAGGAAATTAGGGCAAAAGTTCTGAAGAGTGAAGACATTCTTTATAGTTAAAGAAAAACTTATAAATCTAACCTTATATACTTAATGTACTTATTTTCAATTAAATCAAAATACATAGTTCATTTACAGATTATTTATTTTATAATAAATTCTTGTTGTTAATTTAATTAACACATTAAAATTCATATACCATAATTTAATTGGATATAAATATATTAATTATGTAAGGTTAAGTACATTATCCTATGATTAATTAATGTGATTTTGATTTTGCTTGTATAGAAAATTATTTTTTTGAAGACAAATAAGTTAAGTAATCATGAAACTCGCGTAGATCTTTGAGATTATTATAATTGATGCTTTGACTTTTTATTTTATCGCATAATATCCTAAAAAGCTTATGACTTTCTGTTCAAACTAATTCGAATCCTTGCTGTGCGGGATTGATATTACTAGTGGTAGCTTCATGGGAGCCTCATGGATGTTTTTGATATAATTATTTAACGTGATTGCATATGTTAGGATTTAAATTTGAAATTACAAGATAAATTAATTTAACTCCCTCAGTCAATCGAACCAATCACCCTTTAGTTGGTGCTTTGGCTGTTGGTATTTGTGATTTTCCGCTAGAAAGCCTACGAGCATCGCCATATGATTCCGAGGGTATATCCTTCTGTAAGTTAGTTACCATGGGCGCTTGTATGCATGAGTTTTTTATTTGATCAGGATTTGGATATTCAAAATGAGAGAAGGTGACAAATGCTATTTCATGTACTTTGAGTCTTATTAATTATTAGTTCAACTAAGAATTTCATGATTACATGATATTATAGAGTTGAAAATATCCGCCAAAACTAAAAAATACCTTATATATAATGTCAAAAATTATTCTTTAATTAGAGATCCTTTTACTACCCCCAGTAAGGGTCTGTTTGGTTCTTAGAAATGATGTAAATTGAATGTAATTGAATATTAATCAACATGAATCAATCAGTTTAGTAGGATATAAAAAAAATGATGGCATGAGATTTATATTTAAAAATTAATTAAACATAAAAGTGAAATAATCTTTTTGCCCCTATCCAACAAAAAAAAAAAAAACCGAGAGAGAAGAAGAAGAAATGCCTCTATTTCCATTGTCTTTCTTTTTACTCTCGGCGTCATCGCCAACCAATTGTCACATTGGTAGTCACACTCAGCCCAGACCATATAAACATAGACACAAAGAAATATTTAGTCATAACACACACACAATCCTAGAAATGTTCTCAGGGAAATTAATGTTGATGGTGATCAGTATCCAAACATATTTTACGTGGGAATGCAAGATGAATTTGTAAGATTTGAGCTTCAAGAAATCCAACCCAAAAAGGCCCTAAATTTGCATTTGAATCCTTAACGTAGTTTTAATTAGAGGCATGTTACCATGTTGGTTCAAAATTATTATTAAATAGTGTTGGATTGAGAAAATCATGATTAAAGTATATTTTCAGTAATTTGATTTTATAAAAAGCTTTAATTTAGTCTCTTAATTAAAAATATTTTTTCAGTCTTTTAACCCTAATACCTTATTAATTTTAAATGATTATTTTTTATGTCAATAATTTTTATTTTAAAAAAAATTAAATTTAATATTTCAACATTTGAAAATATTTTATTAATATTTAAAAGTTTAATATAATTTTTTTAATTAAACTAACGATATTAAAATTAAAGTATTAAAAAAACACCTTGTAAAATTAAATGATTAAATTAAAAACCTTATATAGACATCATATATAATAGAATTCATTTACTCCCTTCATCCATTTTTCAAGTCGAATTCATTACTTAGACACAAAAAGTGCAGCATTTTTTTTTTTTTAAATTAAAGGTTCTCATTGGAGATTAACACGCATCATTAATAGAGTTTCATAGCCTAACGTGGCCTTCTACAAGCACGCGTAGCCATTTCGGTGAAGCTTCTGCAACATGTTCCTACTGATGTGAAACGTAATTGTGATGGAAAATGACATTAATTATTAAACAAATTTCTTGGTCACATAAATTATGCAAATAGTTAACATCACAGGCTCCCATAAGACATTCTAAAGATGCTGCCAACACAAAGAAGGCTTGTGATGGCTACTTTCAAGGAATAAAATTATCAACAGATAACTATTCACAATATTCTTCATTTTTTATATTATCTATTCTAGAATTAATTCAATTTTTTAGAGTAAATTTGATTTATCAGACAAAAAATTAATAAATAAAATTAATAGGAGAAGCTGTGTGAATAATATTTCCTATATATTTTTCAAAACTCTGTTCAATGGATGAGCCTCCAAGTCTACTTCAATCCTAAATAAACCCATCACAACATAATACATATAACATCTATTAACAAAGATGTCAAGCATATTAAGTTATAATTAATTTAACCGACACATCAAACAAATTTTTTATATACTATATTGCACTTTCTTCCTCCCTAGCTTGCTGCTATGTTGGACTTATTTGTTTCCACATTGTCCTTCATTTCGCCCATAAATATATTCAGAGAGCTAGGCCACAGATCACCATATCAACTCATAAACAAGAGTCTCTCTTTCTCTCTGCTAGTGTGTAGAAACCAGGATAGAAAGAAGATGGAGCCTGAGATACTTGAGCCGTCTTGGTCATTCTATGAAAACATAAGCTCAACTTTTGACCATGATGAGTCTTTTGACTTCAATATTGACACTCCTTTGTTCACTACTTCAGAGGATACTTGTTCTGAGATTACCTCCATCGTTCCCTTTCCTTCCACCATCTTCTCCAATGATCATGTCTATTACCCAATTGATCAGGACATCCTTCAATTCCCATCGTTGGTGGATGATTTCTTCATGGATCTTGATGCTTTTGATCTCCCTTTGAGTTCTCAGTGTCAGGGTATCCATATCTTTCCATCACATAACTTGTGTTCTGAGAAAGAAGATGCTTGGAGTCCAACCCCATCCATGCAATCGGACATGTCTACAGCAGTACAAGCACAATCATCACTGATCATACCAGAGGAAGACATGGAGATGGAGAACCAGTTGAGTCTTCCTCATCTTCTGGAAGCCGTTGGAGAAGCCTTAGAGCAAGGACAGAACACACTCGCCCAAGTGATTCTGAGATGCATCAGCCACAAAGTAAGCCCTCTAGGTGATCCTCTTGAGCGTCTCTCATTCAATTTGTCCCAAAATCATGATACTTCAGAACAAGGGACTTTCCTCAAACAGGAGGCGCGCAAGAACTTCCACAACGCTTTCAAGGCAATCTACCAAGGCCTCCCACAAGGCAGAATCGCGCATTTTGCAGCCAATTCAGCAATTTTAGAATCCATTCCAGAGGATTCAGAAGTCATACACATAATAGACTTCGATATGGGAGAAGGGGTTCAATGGCCTCCACTAATGGAGACTATTGCTCATCAACATAAAACATTGAAATTAACGTCAATCGAATGGGAAGAAGAGGATAGTCTTGATACCCATTTTGTTTCAACCCAATGGAAATTTGAAGAAATCAGACAGAACCTGTACGAGCATGGCAAGTCATGTGGTTTGAAGTTGAAGGTGGAGGAACAGAGTATCGAGGAATTGGTGACGGAGCTCAAGAAATTGAACAAAAGGGGTAGAAATGGAAATGGAAAGCGAAATTTCGTGGCCTTCAATTGCATGGTGGGTCTTCCACATATGGGGAGGGTCAGAAGCAGAAGACAGGTGTTGGAATTTCTGAGGGTAGCAAAGGATTTCATCAAACGCTCATCTTCCAACAGGGGAATCATAACTTTGGGTGATGGAGAAGCCTGTGAGAAACTGAGAAACAGTACCAACTTCAGGTCATTCTTTAGTGGCCATTTGGTGCATTACCATGCTTTGTTAGAATCGATAGAATCAAATTTCCCAATTCAATTCTCAGAGGCAAGATCAACAATGGAGAGTCTATTCGTGGCACCATGCATATCGTGCGAGGATTGGTTGCAGAAATGGGAGATGAGAGATGATCGGACTCTTCAATCAGAAACAGAGTTAGAGGGTCGAAGCTTGAGGGAAGAGACATTAATGGAGGTTGGAGAAATGCTGAGAGGAATCGAAGGTTCGTATAAGGTCAAGATTGAAGGCAATAATGGCAATGAAATGGTTTTGGAATGGGAAGGAACGCAGCTTCTAAGAATTTCGAAGTGGGGAAATTAAAGCTCAAGGCCAGAGCAACAACTAGTTTTTCCTGCATTTTTTTTCAGCTTATATTTATAAGTCCTGATTTAATTTGTAAAGATTAATTATTCAAATTTGTATCTTAACCAAAAATATATTGAAATTCTGATTATTCTTCCTGCAAGGAAAATTTGATTATATTGTAAAATTAATAAAACACAAATGTTCTGTTTAGATAGATTTCAATGTGTGTATGTACCGTGTAAAATAAGGTTGCGTTAATCCGCCGTCTTTGGACTTGTTTTTGATAATCTTATGCATGATTTGTAACGCTTTTGGAATTTAATATTTTCTAATACAGTATTTTACGAGTATGAGAATCGTATATGGGATTAGGATTTATCAATTAAAAAGTTTGTTTGATATGAAGCTAAACCTAATGAGTTTTGGGAGAATCTTGGCCTGCTAGGATTCCCCGAGCCTGCCCTCATGAGAGAAGAAACAATTAGTAGAAACAGACAAGCATCCTATCATTAATCTTAACGAATATCCTGCCTGAAATTATGAACACGTAGTATCTGCCCCAAGTATCACTAAACAAGTCTTCGCGCGTATATTATCTCCAAGGCTTGAGACAATTTTTCTCCTAAGAATCACTGTCATAGGTTCTGTATCTATATTTTTTAAGTATTTGTATACACAAATGTTCTGATGAGAGTGCTCACATAAATCTTTTTTGTAGTAATGTCTCTTGTGTATCTTATATAGTTCCTTCGTCTGATCCAAAAGTTAAGAGAGAACAGTTTTGAATGCCCATTCATTTGACTCTTGTTTTGTTGGAGAAGAATGAAGAAATTTTTGTAACGAGTTTGATTTTAAAAAAATAGATAAGTGAAATTAAAAATAATGGATATGTACGCTTATGTTATGCATAATGTTCCCTTTCAACATGGATATCATACAAATCAAAGAGTCGATGGGAGAATTTTACACTTATGAGTTAGATCAACTGAAACTCATGTAGGGGCAGATAATTCAAGTTATTCATCAGCATTTGTTTTTCTCTAAAATGAAGATTTTGGGTTCTAGTTTTGTAAACCTGAAATTTTTTTACATTCATGCGATTCAACCCAGTTCAATGTGAAATAGTTAGAGTCAATGCAATTTTTAGACATTGGTTAGCATATAACTAATTGGCTTATCTAAACAACAATATATAAGTAGAAATACCAAATTATATTTGTATGAACCATTGACACGAGATGGATAGCTTCAGTAGAGTCACTGCGAACATTGACATGAGAATATTTTTCATCCCACTGTAGTTTAAGCCCCTTAAGAATTCTTAAAATTAAAGCTTGGTCACAGTGCTGGAATAATATTCAAGATATTTTGCAAATCCCTTTTTCCAAGTTTTTTGGGAGTCCCAAATGACACGACCACAAGAAGCTGAAGTGTTAGAATTAGCAGTACCATCAACATTTAATCCGACACATCAAAGAATTAGGCAGGGTCCACTTGAATTAAAATTCTGGTATATGGAACACCAGCTAAACATAACACAGTCTATTTACAAATATTAATGAAGAGATCTGTTGCAGCAAACTAGAATATTTAATGCTATTGTTTCTTTCGAATGAGTTATTTAATGTACAAACCCATAACTAACAATCTACAGCAAACAGTGAGCTACATTACTGTGAATTTCATATTCGATTTAATCCAAATGCAATCAAATTGCACGAGTTTCGCCTGTCTCTGGAACCTCCTTCGTCCTCTTCTGTCAGTAGTACTATATATTAATTTTTATTACTATTTTATATGGATTTAGGAAGATCTCATGCATTAGTGCTCGTACGTAGATATATATAAAATAGAAGAGGAATATTATGAAAACTTTGTCTGTTATATACATATCTTGCAGAACCATATCTGTAAGATAAGCACGAAAGTCGACCGAACAGCCCAAGAACATCAACCAATATAACATGCTTACGTTAAGACAAGTTTTAGTCTAAAGATATTTAAGTTGCATGACAATATGAAGACTTATTTTATTCCAACACATTACAGACTGTACCAAAAAGGGTTAATTTAATAGCTAATAATTTATACGGAGACATCCACCAATTGTAATGTATCCCATTGTCAAGATGAAAGATTTTTATTTCCTAATGTAAAGGTATATTGCTTTTGATTTGTGATTAAATTGGTTTTTGACAGATATAGAAAGCGGCAAGCAGATTCACACACTGTTGTGCGACTCAGTAACTTTATATACAAGATCAGAATATTATTATTATCCCTATATAACCAAACTGTTTATTTACAGAACCAAAAATGAACTGAACAAAGCCTCTAGAGATAACTAATCGTATAAATAAACAAGTCCAGGACCACGAGGGAAAATTGTTCGTTTATACAGTACAAGAAATGGTTACAGCAGCACAATGTGAATTTCTCAGCCAGAAATAAAATGGCAAAATATATATATACAAATCCCAAAGTCATTCATAAAAAAATTCAAAAAAAGCTGGATCATTAATTATGTACAACATCTAACTGAACAGTGGATTACCCTTCTTCCAGGCTTGGCATGGTGGAGCACAGAAGTAGCAATCTGTACAACTTGGATCATTAGCTGACAAAACCATATATGTAGATATATAACCCAATAACGTGCATTTACAAGCTATCCTGCTCCTCTTCATTTATCTCCTCTCCTATCAGAATCCAAATCGCCTTTTGACATTCCTATTCTCTTCTGCATTTTCAGCTTTCAAAAGGCTGGCCAAAAAGGTAAAGACCATAATGTTTATAGAGACAAAACTTCGTATCAAATGTTTGCTATTAGAATCTCTAATGAAAATAAGTAGAAATTTTCTAAAACTCAGCATTACAAGATTGGGCATTTCCAAAAAGTTCCTCCATGTGTTATGTTTCCATCAAAAACTTTTCTCTTTTGGAATACAAGTAAACAAAAAATTCATAGCAAACACATAAAATTTTTTACCTAATTCTTGTACCATTGATAAACAGCACCAGTCATCATATCTTCCTGTAAGTACTGGAAGGCAAGAATAGGCTGCATGTCTCCCACAGGTAACACAAGGAGAAAAATCACTAATACCTAATCAATCACCTAACTTTTGTTCATTAATTTGTCCCTTTGCTTTATCACGAAGGTCGATCACCTCAGCATTGTTGGGATCAAGACACAGGGCAGCTTCACAATCTCTGGTGGTGGAAATAAAATCACTCATTGATTCATAAAATGCTGCTCGAAGATGTAACAGTTGAACATCTGGCTTGAATCTAATGGCCCTTGCAAGCTCAGCTATTGCTTCAGCTTCCTTGTGATCATCCATCAAGGCTGGAAGACAAATTTTCCATGTCAAAACTCAAAACTTGGGTAATAGGGAGTTTTTGAAGGTTATATTCTGCTGTATCATGATGCTTGTCACAAAGAAAATTCATCCAAAACTGACACCAAAAGTAACGATGGAAAGACCAAAAGCATAAAATACAGACCTCTAATACGTAAGATATTACACATGGATATGCTGAAACTCAAGATCTTTTCTCTCTCGCTTAAAAAATAATCTCTATTAGTAAGATAGCCTAGCTTAAATTTACCCTGATAGAACTGTGTGACAGAAGGCTTCAACTTCCTTGTGATTATCCTTTAAACCTAGTACTGGTAGACATAGTTTCAATGTCAGGACTTGAGAAGTTTGGAGCTCTAATTATTGTCACAAACGAATAGCATTTCAGCGTGAACCAACACTGACACTATATATGGAAAGACCGAAGGCATGAAAATCACAAATGCATCTCTAATAGTCATGTCAACATAGATGGATATGATATGATTAAACCAGAAAATAAGTTATGTCTCTATACTTCAATACTTATTTTCAAATGACTTCCGACAACAACAAAAAATCCTTCCCTCCCTCTCCGCTCAAGCATTCACACACCCTACTGCTCAAAGAAATAAGGAGAGAAAAGAAAACCAGTTGTTGGGAATTTACCTGCTGCCCTATATCTGTATGGATATGTCCTTAGAGGATCCAACTCTGTTGCCATACTAAGATCACTCTCAGCCATGTTACGATCACAATATTCTGCACGTTTCTCATAAGCTGAGGCATTATTCTGAGCCTTTTCTATAAGCTTTGTCATTTCATCATATGCATCTTTGCGTTGATGTTTTAGATGATATACACGTGCTAGTCCCTGATGTGCTCGTGTATGCTTGATGTTGAGTGCATTCATGTAGCAGTCAGCAGCATTGTCCAGCTTGTCACAATCTACGTAGATACTTCCCAGATTATTTAGTGCCTATAAAGTAAAGGAGTGCCAGAAAAAATATGCAATGGTTTAGCATTGAGAACAAGCTAATTTTTTTAATCTTGAAACCATGTGAACACTCACTTGTCCTTTCCGAAGACCATCTGAAGGGCAACTAAGTGCTTCCTCCAAAAGATGAATAACATACTTTGCAGTCTCGGCATCAAGACATGAGTCTGCTAAGGCATAAGCTTTGAGAAAGAAAGCTTCAAATGATCTTTGCATAGAAATAGACTCCTCAGCCTTTGCCAAAGCTTCTTCCCGCATACTAGTGTCATATAATATCCACCCTTCATAGACGAGCCTTTCATGCTCAGAATTAGAATAATTTCTAGCCAGCCGCAGACTGTGCATTGCTGTCTTTGGACAGTTTAACCTGCAAGGTTTAGAAACAACAATATCCACAACCAACAAGATCAACCATTACAAACATCAGATTACCAAAAGAGTACTAGATCCATGCAGGAAGCAAGCTCTACAAAATCAAATCGAATCGTTGATAGCCAGAATTCCTATTCAAGGCAAACAAGAAAAGATCCCAAGACAGAACACTTCACAGTCAAGCTATATAATTGAATAGTTGGAGACTTTCATTTACCTTAACAGAAGGAGAGACTGCCGAAACCGTAAAAGACTTTTTCCTGGGTCATTTGCTAACATATGGTGCACAACAGCCAGAGAACCAATATCATCAACAGAGGACCATCTATCATATAATTGCATCCAGCATTCAGCCTGAGTCCACTGCTGAACAACAGGGCGAAGGAGTTCTATCAAGTCATCAGCAGGCATCCTTCCAAAGAACATCATGTAATTTGGATCCAGTGTCACAAGTGCCTGCATATCTC